GATGCACTATATAAGGTGACCTCTGGTCCCCCTACTGATGTACAATAAAAGATGACCCCTGGTCTCCCTACTGGTGTACAATATAAAAAGTCCCCTGGTTCCACAACTTATGTTCAATATAATGTGTCCTTTGGTCCCCCTACTGATGTACAATATAAGGTGACCCCTGGTCCCCCTACTGATGTACAATATAAGGTGTCCTCTGGTCCCCCTACTAATGTACAATATAAGGTGTCCTCTAGTCCCCCTACTTATGTACAACACAGGATTACCTCTGGTCCCCCCTAATGATTTAAAGTGTAATATTAAGTGTTCTCTGGTCCCCTACTGGTGTTCAATATTAGGTGACCACAGGTCCCCTACTGATATACAATATAAGGTGACCTCTGATCCCCCTACTGATGTCCCCTACTGATGTTAAATGTAATGTGTCCTCTGGGTCCCCTACTGATGTACAATATAAGGTGTCCTCTAGTCCCCCTTCTGATGTACAATATAAGGTGACCTCTGGTCCCCCTACTGATGTACCATATAAGGTGACCTCTGGTCCCCCCTACTGATGTACAATATAAGGTATCCTCTAGTCCCCTTTCTGATGTACAATATAAGGTGTCCTCTGGTCCCCCTACTGATGTACAATATACCCCCTTTTGATATACTTTATAAGGTGACCTATAGTCCCCTTACTGATGTCCCCTACTGATTAACAATATAAGGTGCCGTCTGGTCCCACTATTGATCAAAAGTGTAATATTAGGTGTCCTCTGGTCCCCAACTGATGTTCAATATAAGGTGCCCTCTGGCTCCCCTATTGATCTAAAGTGTAATATTAGGTGTCCTCTGGTCCCCTACTGATGTTCAATATAAGGTGACCACAGGTCCCCCTACTGATGCACTATATAAGGTGACCTCTGGTCCCCCTACTGATGTACAATAAAAGATGACCCCTGGTCTCCCTACTGGTGTACAATATAAAAAGTCCCCTGGTTCCACAACTTATGTTCAATATAATGTGTCCTTTGGTCCCCCTACTGATGTACAATATAAGGTGACCCCTGGTCCCCCTACTGATGTACAATATAAGGTGTCCTCTATTGCCCCTACTATTGTTGTACAATATAAGGTGTCCTCTAGTCCCCCTACTTATGTACAACACAGGATTACCTCTGGTCCCCCCTAATGATTTAAAGTGTAATATTAAGTGTTCTCTGGTCCCCTACTGGTGTTCAATATTAGGTGACCACAGGTCCCCTACTGATATACAATATAAGGTGACCTCTGATCCCCCTACTGATGTCCCCTACTGATGTTAAATGTAATGTGTCCTCTGGGTCCCCTACTGATGTACAATATAAGGTGTCCTCTAGTCCCCCTTCTGATGTACAATATAAGGTGACCTCTGGTCCCCCTACTGATGTACCATATAAGGTGACCTCTGGTCCCCCCTACTGATGTACAATATAAGGTATCCTCTAGTCCCCTTTCTGATGTACAATATAAGGTGTCCTCTGGTCCCCCTACTGATGTACAATATACCCCCTTTTGATATACTTTATAAGGTGACCTATAGTCCCCTTACTGATGTCCCCTACTGATTAACAATATAAGGTGCCGTCTGGTCCCACTATTGATCAAAAGTGTAATATTAGGTGTCCTCTGGTCCCCAACTGATGTTCAATATAAGGTGCCCTCTGGCTCCCCTATTGATCTAAAGTGTAATATTAGGTGTCCTCTGGTCCCCTACTGATGTTCAATATAAGGTGACCACTGGTCCCCCTACTGATGCACTATATAAGGTGACCTCTGGTCCCCCTACTGATGTACAATAAAAGATGACCCCTGGTCTCCCTACTGGTGTACAATATAAAAAGTCCCCTGGTTCCACAACTTATGTTCAATATAATGTGTCCTTTGGTCCCCCTACTGATGTACAATATAAGGTGACCCCTGGTCCCCCTACTGATGTACAATATAAGGTGTCCTCTATTGCCCCTACTATTGTTGTACAATATAAGGTGTCCTCTAGTCCCCCTACTTATGTACAACACAGGATTACCTCTGGTCCCCCCTAATGATTTAAAGTGTAATATTAAGTGTTCTCTGGTCCCCTACTGGTGTTCAATATTAGGTGACCACAGGTCCCCTACTGATATACAATATAAGGTGACCTCTGATCCCCCTACTGATGTCCCCTACTGATGTTAAATGTAATGTGTCCTCTGGGTCCCCTACTGATGTACAATATAAGGTGTCCTCTAGTCCCCCTTCTGATGTACAATATAAGGTGACCTCTGGTCCCCCTACTGATGTACCATATAAGGTGACCTCTGGTCCCCCCTACTGATGTACAATATAAGGTATCCTCTAGTCCCCTTTCTGATGTACAATATAAGGTGTCCTCTGGTCCCCCTACTGATGTACAATATACCCCCTTTTGATATACTTTATAAGGTGACCTATAGTCCCCTTACTGATGTCCCCTACTGATTAACAATATAAGGTGCCGTCTGGTCCCACTATTGATCAAAAGTGTAATATTAGGTGTCCTCTGGTCCCCAACTGATGTTCAATATAAGGTGACCACAGGTCCCCCTACTGATGCACTATATATTAAGTGATCTCTGGTCCCCCTACTGATGAACAATATAAGGTGTCCTCTAGTCCCACTACTGATGTACAATATAAGGTGACTTCTGGTCCCCCTACTTATGTACAATACAGGGTAACCTCTGGTCCCCCTATTGATGCAAAGTGTAATATTAAGTGTCCTCTGGTCCCCTACTGATGTTCAATATAACGTGACCACAGGTCCCCTACTGATGTACAATATAAGGTGACCTCTGGTCCCCCTACTGATGTTACTGTAATTATAATGTGTCCTCTGGGTCCCCCACTGATGTCCCCCTACTGATGTACAATGTAAGGTGTCTTCTAGTCCCCCTACTGATGTACAATATAAGGTGACCTCTGGTCCCCCTACTGATGTACCATATAGGGTGACCTCTGGTCCCCCCTACTGATGTACAATATAAGGTGACCCCTAGTCCCCCTACCAATGTACGATATATGGTGTCCTCTGGTCCCCCTATTGATATACAATATAAGGTGACCTCTAGTCCCCCTACTGATGTCCCCTACTGATGTACAATATAAGGTGCCCTCTGGTCCCGCTATTGATCTAAAGTGTAATATTAGGTGTCCTCTGGTCCCCTGCTGATGTTCAATATAAGGTGACCACAGGTCCCCCTACTGATGCTCTATATAAGGTGACCTCTGGTCCCCCTACTGATGTCCCCTACTGATGTACAATATAAGGTGTCCTCTGGGCCCCCTACTGATGTACAAATAAGATGATTACTGGTCTCCCTACTGATTTAGAGTATAAAATAACTTTTGTTTCCCCTTCTTATGTAAAGTGCATTATAAGGTTTCCTCTGGTCCTACTGTTATTCAATTTAAGGTGACCTCTGGTCCCCCTACTTATGTACAATATAAGGTGATCCCCGTTCCCCCTTCTGATGTACAATATAAGGTATCCTAAGGTCCCCTACTGATATACAATATAAGGTAACCTCTGGTCCCCCCAGTGATGTACAAAATATGGTGGCCTCTGGTCCACCATATGATGTAGAACAGAAGATGACATCTGGTCTTCTCTTTTGATGTACAATATAAGGTGACCTATGGTCGCCCTAAAGATGTACGATATAAAGTTACCTCTGGTCCTATTAACTTTTTATTACTTCTGGTATTCGCATAAAGATTATGGAAACAAGCGTAAGTCTTACCGTATAGCGGGTAATTTTAGCGGGGTGCTAATTTTGGCTTATTTTGGCGTTTTGATGATAGTCCGCTAAAATTTTAACCGTTAAAATAGTCAGTACTCTTCTTAGTGTTCATCTCCAAAGAGCTATAAAAACCCTGCGTCCGCTAAAATAAATTACGCCAAAATTATTGGCATACCTTTGAGGGGGCAAAACGCCAAATTTTACACCCGCCAAAAAAACCCGCTATACGGTATATTGGCCATCAATAAGGATTTCTTACTTCACAAATTGTAGTATATGAATGAGACAAAGGTAATCTTATGTTGTACATTATTACCATGCTATTGAAAGTTGTAAGTAGGCAATAATTTAAAATCATGGTACAGTGGGTTCCGTTTAAACGGATAGTCAGGTTGTCAGAATAATTTTATCCGTATAGCCGAATATTGGAATAGCCGATTGCAATATTTCCGTACAAACAGCAGATCTACAGTACACAAGTAGCAATTTCAAGAAGGTTGTATTACGTACCTGTACTTTCGTTTTCGTTCGATGAATGTACCAATAAGTCAGGAAATGAATTATTTCACTTAATTGATAATAACAATTTCAATGTGATTTTGTATGAATAATTTGTTTTTAATTGAAGTATAAAACTTATTTCCATCTCTATAAATCTTGTTAGCACCAGGCACCTGTTTTCATTCATCCCATTCGTTGATGGCGTCCATTTTGGAAAAACGGAAGTTGATTGAATACATGACTTTATTACGTAAACCGTTTTTTTCCGGATTGCTGATTAATAAATTAAAAAAAGTTTATTGTTTCATCTTTACTTGTATGTTATGTCAATTCAATTGATGGATTTAATTTTCAGACGTGTATTTATACGGAGTGCATGTGTTTTAATTCTTAAAATTGCACTTAAAAGTGAACACATATTCAACTAAATGACCAAGCGCTACCATTTAATAGAGTCAAATTCTGATAATTTTAATTTAATGTCCAAGCAAAGTGTCATACTCAAACTGAACAGTTCAATAATTAAAACTTCACACCAAACAAAATTGCACAAAAGACAATTATCATTTATCTAAATTAATACCCAAGCCAGTCATCACTATTGTAATCAAAACATATCGATCTAGTGTGCCCACTGTTAACACAGGTAAGGTGCTGGCGATTGTTCAGCCGTGACTAATCCCCTCATTATCGTGTCTGGAAGTGTCAAACATGTGTAAACAAAGGATTTACCGGTACATTCAGAAGGTAGAGGTGTGAATGAGAGAATTATAATGAAAATCACTATGATAGGCGAAATTTTTGTATCAGATAAAACGAAAATCCCATATTTTCCTATCAGAATATCAGATGAAATTATTAATAAATAAATAAAAAATGGTTTTGTGCTCTAATATTGTATCAGATTGGCCGAAATATTCGTTTAACCACTATCTGATTAAATGGAATCCACTGTATGTGTAGAATTATTTTTCAAATCCTCTCAAAAAAAGAATTGCGACCCTAATTTTTTTACCGGGGCAAAAGTGCACAATTTCTCCGAATTCTCTAAATGTACATGTATGTAATTAGACTTTGGAGGATTAGTCAACTTGCTTGTCTTCAAATACAGTACATGTATCCCAAAGTTAATAACAATTGGTGCATTTTTAAAATTTTATTTCCTTTGTTTAATGTAGTTTTGATGGGTTTATGAATTTGATGTGTTAATTCCAGGGATAGCGGAGGTGAACTACATGCAGCCCTAAACTTTGCGATACAGGGTGTACATTTTCTTTGTAAGATAAATAAAAATCAGGGATTTCCGGCAAAGAGTGTTAAAGTGATGAGGTTGCCTATTTAAGCATGACCTCATAAGGAAGACAAAAGAGACAATAAATAATTTATTAACAAATAATTATTCCATTATGTTAAAGGATTGGTGAAAAGTCCGAGCGAAATGAAAAAGGGGCTGTAGGGGGGCAAAATCTTCACCCCCCCCCCCCCTGCTTGTTTTAGATCTGCGAATACAGAGACTGGACGTACGTCGTTTACTCTGAGTCGCTTACTGTTAGTAAGGAGATCAGCGGTTGGGCACTGTGTTATATAGATACTATAACCTTAAATGGAATAATAAAATCATAGGGGAGACCACAGGTCACCCAGCATAATCCATAAATGTTAAACTCTAATATACCAAATATCTTATAATATTGCAGTTAATGTTGCTCAGCAACCCCCCTCCCCCTCTTTGTTTTCTAATACCCATCACAGATGGTTCTTCCCTAGACAAAAAAAAAATTTCTGGGTTTTTTTACACTGAAAAGGCTTCACAGTATTACGATTTATTCTATTTTCACTTTACGTATGCAACGCACTACATTTTGTAGCGGAGTAAACAGACCCGATAGACGTGAACTGTGCGGGGGACCTAAGGTCCTAGTTCAGTGTACGTTTTATCCTTCTGCCCCCTGCAATGTTGCAATACCGTATAAGTGGAAATTTTAGCGAGACACAAATTTAGCAATTTCTCCTTAAAAATTGGTAATTTATTTTTAGCGAGAGGTAATTTTAGCGATTCTTAAATGCCAACTGAAGAAGCTATTACAAATAAAATGCAGTTAATTTTTAGCGATATTCAATTTTAGCGATCCCAGGACCCTCGCTAATAATGCCAAAATTAAATCCTCGCTAAAAATTCTACTTATACGGTATCATTTTCCCCCTTTTTTGTATGGAGAGTTCTACTACGGGAGATAACTCTTCAACACACAATTAACACTCATTTTATTATCTTTTGGTGAATATTTTAAACTTTCACGAAGGTTTTAATTTTGATTTCTGGCATTGCAAAAATTTTTCAATTGATTTTGCAAGGTCTCAAACTTTCATATTTGCACCTACTATTTTATGCCAATTTTTGCTAAATATAGAAACAGGGCTGTTACTAAAAATAGAAACACGTGGCACACTTTCCAAATTTAAATTTTAGATCCTCAGACAACCTAGACCTTAAAAATATATGATAAAATGAAAAATTTTGTAGACCCTCCTGGACGATTTTTCAGATTTTGCATGTTTTTCTCTGAGACACGCTCTTAATTATGTTTTACTTCCATTTAAAAACTAGCCAAAAAGATTCTAAAAATCTATGATGTATGGTTTAGCAAGAAATCATTTTTAAATTTTAGGATTTTATCTTGGTTGAGTTGGATAGACAAGGAAGGGAGTTTACTCTGATTAAAGAGTTATTTTGTTCATCCATGCTTTACTATCATCCTACATCCATACACAGAGTTCAGAATCCAAGGCTGTGGCAAAAATTTAGTCTGTAAGTATAGGACAAGTTTTATTTCTTACAAGGAAGAACTAAATGATAAATACCCGGTACAGAAAAACACTTATAACTATGTGCCAGGGACAGCCAAATTGCTTCTTTACAATTGTAATTATGTTCCCCAAACGAAGTTGGGGAACATATTGTTTTTACTCTGTTTCTTATTATTATTATTCTTCTTCTTCTTCCTGGGTACTTTTTTGTCCGGGAGTGATCTTGTAAACTGTTCATCCGATGTAGGTAAAACCTTTTTAGGGTCAGTAGACATGTTATGTAGATTTGTGGAATCAAGGTCATTTTGCGCGCACGTGCTTGTAAGAGCGTGTGCGTGCAACACGTGAATTAACCAATATAATAGATATAACCGTAACTTTTTTATTTTTTGATGAAATGCTTTGAAACTCATAATCTGATTGTTTATTAGTAGTATAGACATGATGACATGGTCAAAATAGCAAGATCTCACGCGCATGCACGTGCGCTTTGCTCTGATTGGCTGAAACTAAAGTCTCTATATCTTTCTTGTTTTTCGACGAAATCCTATGAAATTTTGAACATAGCCATGCATTAATATATCCTACAGCATGATATATAGCATATATCATAAAATCACGTGCATGCACGTGCGCTGCAATCTGATTGGCTTAAACTTTAAATAGCTATAACTCCCTTGGTTTTCAACCAAACAGGATGGGATTTGGAACATAGATAGATATAGTGAACTTCTACAACATGATATGGTCGCCATGCACATGCAAACACGTGCGTGTACTTGCGCTGTAATCTGATTGACTGAAACTTCAAACAGCTATAACTACTTTGGTTTTCAACCAAACGGAGTGGGATTTAGAACATAGAGAGATGTAATGGACGTCCACAAGAAGATATGGACATCATGTTCATGTATGCACGTGCGTGCATGTGAAATGAGATAAATCAAAAATGCACTTGAATGAGCGTATTTTTAAATACTTTTGGATTAAATACTTTAATATTTAGTATATTAAAATGTATAGATTATGTAGACAAGATGATATGGTCATTACGCACATGCATTCACATGTGCACGCGTGCAATGCTAAAATTTGAATGAACTTGGCGTTGTTAAAGTCTCAAATTTATGCATAGATTTTGTCCTATTTGGGAGTTGGGGAGCGTTTGGGGAACATCTGTAACGGTCCCCGTTACAATTAGCACTAGTTTAATTAGTGTGTCACCCAAGTGATTCATCTCAGTAAAAGAAATTGGTTGAAAAAAGTCTTGTTGCAAAAACATATCTATGCTTGTAGGGCTAGAAAGCATATTTCGGAGGAGTTTGGTCCAAATATGGTAAATGAGCAGCAGTTATTTCATGGCACCAAATGTGAGGCTATAGAGGCCATATGTAGATCTGGTCTGGACTGGAGGATGTGTGGTGAAAATGGAGTGGCCTTTGGACAGGGTAAGATGTGGATTTCTAAAGGTGCACTCCAGTCGTTTTAAACATGTACCCATTACAAAAGATAAGACTGCTTTTTCAGAATGAATAAATTTCCCACTCCCAACTTTTAGGTCATTAAGACAAAAACAAATTGCATCATCTTTTTCTTTTCTTAAACCTAGTCTTCCATATATTTTCAGGAACATATTTTGCTAAACATGCACATTACTCAGATAGATACTGCCAGCACTTCACCGGTCGGCTTGTTAACCCAAGTAACCCCTATCAACCCTTGGGATTCAGTTTCGGTGCCGCTCCTCCAGCTCACTTTAGTTATGCAGTCGCTCCTCCTCCTTCTATTCAAATCGTTCCTAAGCGAGTAGGAAACAGTACATGTTTCGTCACAGTACAAGGAACTGGAGGACAACAACAATCCTCTTCTGGCAGCAGTGGAGCCTCACAAAACCAAAATGCACTCAGTGGAATAGGAAGTCAAACAGGATTCGGCACGATCACTTTCGGAACTCCCTTCGGAACAGACCAGCCTGCACAAACTTCCAGCGATCCCAAATCCTCTACAGCTCAAGACAAGCCTAAGGTGATCTCAGATATCAAACAGTTACTGAGAGAGAAACACAAGTACATGTTTGTGGCTCGTGTCTTGGTTGGACGACCGGGTCAGGGACGACCGGGAATGAGAAAACCCCCGGAGGATCCCGACGATCCCAAAGGGAGGCCGTTCAATTCCTGTGTTAATACTCCACATAAACCCAGTATATTTGTGATCTTCGACAGTACTCAGTGTTATCCTGAATATATCATCGAATATATGCATCTCACTTAAAATAGGTAATATCCGGTTTGTGAAAATGGATTCAAAAACTGTTCGTTAGAAGCTGATTGTTTTATCATTATGCTTTTACGTTCAAATTGCAATGAATGAAATTACAATGTTCTTGTTATTTAGTTACTGATGTTATTTAACCAATAAAGAAATACTTTCTTAAACAACCTTACTTATTTTATGAAAAACAAGGGAAGAGTACAGTTATACATGGCAAGAGAAAACTGCTCAAAACAGCAAAAATTTATTCTGTCATTCTAAACTTGCTCAATAGAAGTATTGATAATCTGTAGGTTTGATTATCTTATGGTATCAGAGAAGGCTTAGTTTAAGCCTACTACAGTAATGGTTTAAAAAGTTAATTGTAAGATACCTACTAGTACTTGATTTGAAAATCACATCAAGAAAAAATTGTTTACCTCTTTATTTCTTGTAAGCTCTGCTACATATTTTTTAAAAAAGCACATTTGGAATAAGTCTCATTTAGATATTTTTTCCTCCATGATTTAATACTCATGGTAACTTGCATACGTTTTCAAGTAGTAACAACCAGAGCTCCACTTTCATTACACTCGCTACACACAGGCTAAGTTGACTGGAGTATCCTCCAAGTAACAGAGCTCTGTCATAAGCCTGGAACTGCAGGTGATAGCACCTGCTGACTTTGTTCACCTGAGTTCCACCTTCATTGCACTTGCTACACACAGTCTAAGGTGACTTTGGAGTTTCCAGGAAGTTTCGTAACTTAGGGCTCTGTCATAAGCCTGGAATTGCAGGCGATAGCACCGGCTGACTTTGTTCAGTTCTACACTGTGGAATCTGTCCAGGAGTTCTACACACACAACAAGATCTCCACAAACTTCTCGTATCACAGATAAAAAATCAGGTTCATTGAATGGAAGCTGGGAGTTCTCCCAGAAACTGATATCATGGGAGAATAGGAGGGGGTAGAGACTTATGGTTGGGAGGAGAAGTGGGGGGTCAGAATTCAGCATCCTCTGATAAACCTCCACAACTCGACTGTCTAGTGACCATAGTAATCGGATATTTGGCAGTTGGAATAACAGAACAGCTAATTTATCCAGATTCAAAGAGAATGAGTCATATACTGTGTCACCTTTGGTATGTGATAATACATGTCCTATTTCCTGAGAGATATTCTCATTTGCACGCTCTGTTTTTATATAAATTTGAGTATCTGCTACTTCAAGTTTGCATGATCCTTTTGATCTATCACTTATGAATTTATTTACTTTTTCAAAGAGCTGTTCTATCTGCAATGAATTGCTAGTTGAGGGAATACACCCAATCATATGATGCATGACTGGAAGACACTCCAATGTAACAGGAACATCCACAAGTCTTTGAAGTGTACATAAGGTTGGGTGATCCAGTAGTAATTCCTCGGGGAAACTCTGATGATTATTCTGTTGTGGTGCCCCCAATGTGAATAATTTTTCTTTTTGTTCATCCTCACTCGTGTTGTCTAGAGTCTGACATTGGCAGGAAGAGGGATTCCTTAATGTAGGATCCTGGACATCTTTAATGATGTGGAAGTTTAGCTTCTTGTTTATTTCTTCTTCTAGTTTTTTTGAAAGATAACACACTGGATTTCCATCTTCTTTGTGCAGTTGTCTGATAAAAAAATAATGGTCAGATTTAATGGTCAGTTTACTTTTTAGTTCTCCTGAGCCGAAAGGCTCAAGTGAGCTTTTCTGATCAAAAATTTGTCTGTCGTTGTCGTTGTAAACTTTTCACATTTTCATCTTCTCTAGAACCACTGGGCCAATTTCAACCTAACTTGCCACAAAGTATCCTTAGGTAAAGGGGATTCAAGTTTATTCAAATGAAGTGCCACACCCTTTTCTGAGGGGAAATAATTATGAATTCGTGAAAAATTAATTAAATTTTTAAAAAATCTTCTTCTCGTGAACCACGGGGCCAAGAAAGATGATCAAAATTTTACATAGGAATTTATAGGAAAATCGTCTTCTCAAGTACTTCAAAGCAATGATTAGTGATAGAATAGGAAGATCTTTTTATCAAGAACAGTAAAGTCATATGCTGTTATTAATATAAAGACATTCTAAAGTACATGTAGTATTAAATTCAAGCCCCCCCCCCCCCCCCCTTTTAGTAAACTTTTCAGTTCTGGTCTGATTTGTGTTTTTTCCTAGCCGATGATTTGCTCAGGTAAGCGAGGTGGCCCCTGGGCCTCTTGTTGGTATTTTAATTAATTGCTATCCATGAGTATGTATACAACAAAGAGTAATAAACATTTGCCACAATTCTAACCATGATATATCCTGCATACTGAAGTCGCAAATAAAAATTTAATACAGTTTGCAAATGTTAAGATTAAGGCCCATGGGCCACATCGCTCACCTGAGAAGCTTTGACCATTCTATTCTTTACTAGATTTCCCCCTTGTAATACATAAAGTGACCCCACCCTACCCCACTGATCATAATTTAGACAATTTGAAATTTACACTACCCCAGGATGCTTCCACATAAGTTTCAGTTTTTCTGGCCCAGTGGTTCTTGAGAAGATTTTCAAAGATTTTTCCTATTTATTTCTATGTAATACTTTGATTTCCAATTGTGGCCCGACCCTACCCCCAGGGGTCATGATTGGATTACATGTAATTTAGAATCTACACTACCTGAGGATACTTTCAATTAAGTTTCAGCTTTTCTGGCAGAGTGGTTCTTGAGAAGAAGATTTTTAAAGATATTTCCTTTATATTTCTTTGTAAAACTTTGATTCCCCATTGTGGCCCTGCCCAACCCCCGGGGGTCATGATTTGTACAATTTAGAATCTACACTAACCCAGGATGCTTCCACATAAGTTTCAGCTTTTCTTGCCCAGTGGTTCTTGAGAAGAAGATTTTTAGTAGGGATGTCAAAATTGTCAATAATTGATATTCGAATATTCGATAGTAGTATAAGAATATATTCGAATATTTGATAAAATAAATACATCTTGCATTATAATATGTAACTATATACATGTATCTTCACTCTTATGTCAAGCAATATACGTTTTATGTCATAATTTTAGAATAAAATGTCATGTAGAGTTTTGCAAATGCACTTTAATTATATTCTTAAAATATTTTACAGAATATATGAAGAGTCTATATCCAAAATGTAATAAAAAATGTTCCCTGAAAATTCAAAAGATTCTTTTAATAAGTTCAAGATTAATTAATCATCTTACCAAAGTGTACACTGATAAACCTACAGATTTATACCACACAGAACAATTATCTAATGGAGAAACATTAAAAGCAATTACTTTTAGCTAATTAATTTCATGATAATGATTTTAAATGATGTATACATAAACATATACATAAAAAATGTTTCCTTTCAACAATACAAACTAATTCTAAGTACTGGACACTGTTTTACCTCTAATTAAATGATCAAATGAAGAATTTATATTATTTTTGATTAATAGACAGATTCTTCAGAACTTTAGGGTAATCCAAGAGGAGTATTTTTTAATTTTGTTTGAAATAAAATCTTATTATTGGTCAACAAAGAGAATTTGATTAAATTCCTGATAAAACTTAAGTTTTTGTCAGATTTTTTTTCTTTTTGATGCTTGTATACTTAAAATCCGAATATTCGAATCATGAATTTATATTCGAATATCAACTCATCGAAGGAATATTCGAATATCTGTTGACATCCCTAATTTTTAGGTCACCTGAGTAAACTCAGGTGACCTATGGCTATCTGTTTTCATCCGTCGTCGTGCGTTAACATTTAAACATTTTCAGCTTCTTCTCTGAAACCGCTGAACCAATTTCAACCAATTTTGGCATACAGTATCTATGAATGAAGGGGAACAAAAATTGTGAATTTCATGGTCCCTGCCCCCCTGGGGCCTGAGGGGTGGGGCAAAAACCACTAAAATTAGTGCAATCTTTAAAAATCTTCTTCTTTACTCCCGGACATCAAGCAGTCAAACTTTTGGTATGATTGTAATCAGCATTGAGTCCTCTACCAAAATTGGGGTTCTAGTGTTAGGGCAGGGCTCTATTGATTATATAGTGAAAATGCATTAAATCTTTGGAAATCTTCTTCTCTGCTTCTGAGTTTTAAATAAACTAATTAAGGATATAATTATGATGAGCAAGAATATTTCTACATAAATTGTGAATTTTATGGCCCCAGGGTCAGGGGTTCTGGTGTTAGGGCGGGGCTCTATTGATAATATAGTGAAAATGCATTAATTCTTTGAAAATCTTCTTCTCTGCTTCTGAGTATTAAATAAACTAATTAAGGTTATAGTTATGATGAGCAAGAATGTTTCTACATAAATTGTGAATTTTATGGCCCCAGGGTCAGGGGTTCTGGTGTTAGGACGGGGCTCTATTGAATAATAGTGTAAATGCATTAAATCTTTGAAAATCTTCTTCCCTGCTCCTAGGTATTAAATAAACTAAGTAAGTACATAGTTATGATGAGCAAGAGTTTTCTCTACATCTAGGTAATCAGCAGATGAAGTATTTACATGGTTATGATGGTCTCTT